CTAGTCCACCTCCCGTGATACCACACAGGGCACCCAACGCAATTTGGTTTTACTTTTGGTTTTGAACACCAGGTGTTCTGCAACGTTTCGTACGTTACGTGTTAATTAGAAAAGCTTGTCCTTTCAGGCAATGCACTAGTGCTGTGAAGGGAGGCACACAGGAGCAAAGCAGCATTTAGAAATACCTCTTTCAGCACCAAAAGCTTTATTGTAAGAGCTGCATCTTCTAAGTTATGAATGTAAGTTTCCTTTAAATAAAAAGAAAACTCTTGAGAAGAGTCAAGTTTCGAAAAGGCATTAATGTGCATGGTGTTCTGCTTGGCAGTCTGTATTGCTAGGAGCTCACACGCCCAGCCGTTACAAACAGGGCTGTACGTACTTTCTCCACTTGCTCCTTTTTTAAAAATTAATTATTGTCTCAGGCAGCCTGCTGCAGCCAGGCTGCTTGTTCTTGTGTCCCCTCTTTGCCAGTGCTCAGAGCCTGTTTGCTCTTACCCTAAGAAAGCCAGCTAGTTGACCAGTGTTGTGAAAAGGACAGAATCCCACCAGTTTTGAAAGCGATGCAATTGTCGTGACAGCAGGCGCCTATTCGGCACGTCCATGTAAGTGCCAGGGGCTGTTTATGCTGTGCCTGGCATATGCTAGATGAAAGTACTCTTTGTGTAGAATAGTGTTCTATTATTTCCTCAGTGCACCTCTGAGCAAGAACAGGCTGCAGGAAGTATTACAAATAGTTAATGTCATCATAGCTAACACTATTTTACACGGTATCAAACCTCGTTAAGTTCAGTGGCACAAAGAAGTGCTGATATGACTTAGAAAATATTTTATTTCAAACTGCAGTTACTCTTTAACGACCAAGCAGAGCTTCTGCGAGTTCTTCCACCTTATTCCCCATGTTTGTAACATTTTGCTTTTCTAACCTTTGTGTTAAGCTGTAACAGAGTAGTATCAAACTGACTGGTGTTTTGAAGTTTGACAGTAACTTATACGCACATCTATAAACCCCAGAAGTACCAGTTTAGCATCTATTTAATAGCTGATTTTTTTATTCTGTTCAGCTCAATGATATAACTTTACATATTGCTTTTCTATATACTACTTGTAATAACGGTATTTTAAATAAAGTGTCTTGTGGATTTTTGGTATTGTAAACATTTTGTACTAGTTAATATTAAGAGACATCTTAATTTGACTTTCTCCAACGAAACGCAGACACTCTACAGCTGCCAGGACGACTTCTTTACATGGTTACTTGTTATAGAATTGGGATGAGACCCAGGCAAGACCCCACTTCAGGTTAGTTAACATGAATTTTAGTGCTTTTGTCCATTGCTCCTCAGAGTTAAATTGTGTTTTAATAGAGTAAGAGCCACCACTGCCACCTGTATCTTCAATCTTCCCTTTCTCCACGTCCATCCTGTATCACACACAAAGTTTTATTAGTGCACTACTATGGCAAGCATTTAATCTCAATACGATGTCAAGTACTAAAATTTAAATCTGACATTCGTATTATTCTATGTAAGAATACTTTGTTTTTAAAGGAAATCTAGCAAGCCTCAGGTCTTCACCTGAGGAACTAGCTTTACATTTCAATTAAACTAAGAGCAAATGCGGTAATCCTGCACGTTATAAAGAACACCGGATGATTCCAGACAGGACTGAAACAGCAAGCAGCGCTGTAGAGTGGTCCAGAGGTCAGCTAGTGCTGCACGGGACAGCATACGAGGTGTTAATTTGACATGTTATATGGCAACACTCACCTATAAGGCAAACAAAACCGCGTTTCACCTTTTTCCACTTCCTCTTTAAATTGCTGCACACAGTCCAGGAAAGCCACCATTGCATGATCAAACTTATTGTCCCAGAAGAACCTTAGGCCTCCAGAACAGTACAAGGGGAGCTCCTGGAAAAGAGATTCGTTTCAGGCACCCCAAGCACTCCCTTTTAGATATGGTCACTGCAGCCCTTTAGTCTTGTGCAAGGCTTACATCTGTCATAGGACGCTTAGAAATGGTTTGTGGCACGTAATAAGTGTGACTTGTTTTGTGGTAAGTGCCTACCGCATGCAGGCTTGGGTTCCTAATCACCAACAATCATCCCGAATCACGCTATCTTCCTCTGGCCAGCTGCGGTGTATAGTTCAAGAGTCCTGTTGGTTTTAACGCTACTGGATGGCAGAACAAATGGCTTTGATGTAGGATATGGAGCGAGATATTATTATGCTGGAGAAGTCGGGGCAGCTAGCCCTCCTGTACCGTAAATTCATAAAGAGCTGAGTTTGTCTTCTGCGTGCCCCAGCATGACCAAGGCTCTGTGGCATTCAAGATCAATGTCCTCCGACTTGTGCAGGATCTCTTACCTTCGATTTGTCCGTGAGGGACTCTAAATATGAGTGGTTGCCGTACGGTACGAGACGGTATCTGAAAGGAGATACGATTCACAGGCAGATGAGTCTAACTGTCTTTATCCGGGTCATAAGTGAAATGTGTATTATATTGCATATACCTTTGAAACTTCAGGCCCATTTTGTTAGCAAGGGCGTGTAGCAACAGCACAGTCTGCCCCCAGGCAGCATTGATCTCATTCCATTCTACAGGAACACTGGGGAGACGGCCAAGTCTGAAGTTATTTATTGTGCCAAACTGACCACTGTGCCTGTGATAAGAGGAATTATAAATAAGCGCACCGGGGCAGGAACAGCTTCTAGCATGCTATCCAAACAAGGGCCACGTACCAGCAGTTACAGAACGCACACTGCTAACCAAGCAAAAGGAGGGTTTGGGGGCTCTGGTTAAAAAGTGTATATAAACACCAACCACTTTTTCTCTTTTTATGACAGAGTTCATTTAAAAAAAAAAAAAAAACCAACATACCACCAAAACAACCAACCAAACACCCAAACCCCCTGAGCTACCTGCTCTGTAAAGCCTGACGTTACAGCGTTACCGTTGGCTAGCACGGTAGGTCCCGGTTCGTTAACAGGGTTAGTGAAAGAGCCATGTCGCAGTCTACTTGGACATCCGCACAGCGTCGCAGACCTCTCAGCTGACGCTGTTGGGAGCCGTGACCGGTTGCTTTGTTGTGGGGTAGCTATGACTTGACTAGCACCTTTCCCGTCAAACGCGGCGTTAAGCGGCCCTGCGTTGCAGGATCTTGGCAAACTGACACAATATTCCAGTGCCTACATTACCAGATGTGAAAGGTTGCATTGAACACATTGGTTTTCTTTAATTTATCCAGTTGCATCTGGGCATAGCGCATTTGGTTGTCCACACTTTTCAGCTCATCATCTAGCTCCAGTTGTTGCCTCTTGAATTCACAGTATTCTTTCTGATACCTTTTAATGAAAGCAAGACAAGAAATGCTAAGTGCAGGCTTTTACAGAAAAGTGACCGCTCACACGGTATACTAGGTTTTCTTGGTCTAGCTAACTTCAATTTTGAAAGAATAAGCCACTTGCATTTGGGCATTATTTACAGGTTTCTCCACATTATAATCTCATTTATCTGTTACCCAAAATCCCTGCCATAAACTGCAGTTGCAGTTCACTCACTGAGCTTCTTCCTGCTCCAGCCGCTCCGCCTCTGCCCTGACTCTCTCGAAGTCTTCAGCCACAATCTTGCGGTTCTTCTCAACGTCCTCTAGCTCCTGAATCAGCTGCTCTTCCTCCAGTGCAAGTTCTTTCAGTTCTGTTTGCAGTTTCTCCTTATCATCCTCGTTCATTTCTTCCAGTATCTCCAGACATCTCCTAAAAGAGAACGACAGGATTACCGAAGCAGGGATCCTGGGAAGCCCCCTGCCAACACTCCCCGGTTCCGTGACAGCCCGTGCACGCGAGCGGAGGTGCAAACAGGGACGCTGGTACCACGTGCACCTCTGGTTAATCCTGAGCTCTCTGCGTTGGTCCCGCACCGCGAGTCAGGAACGCACACGGGAGAACAGGGGAGCGAGATGGTGACCGAGGCTCTGTTACTGCCTGCCGGTAACCATCCCTGCGAAGCCCTCAACCACGCGGGAATGCTGCCACACGGGCACCGTGGGGAGGTGGCGTCAGTCCTTCTGATGGGCTCACGGACTTCAGCTGGAGTAGCTGTGTACCACAGGACTCTCAAAAATAAAATTTTCATCTCGTTCAGACAAAGAAAACCGTCCCTGAAGTCAGGGACGTCTCCTGCTGGTCACAGAAAGCCGGATCACGGCTGCATTCTTTGCCTAGGCTTCAAGCTAAAGCAAACCCGGTCTCGGGTCACCTCCGGATCACTCACTTGTAGTTCTGGCACTCGTTCTCTGTGATGTTAAGCTGGGTGTCCAGCTGGTCTAGCAGAGTGTCGGTGCATTCCTCACACAGAGGGTGATCCACGTCTGTCTGTCCAGACATAATGTCAAAGAGGTCACCGGTAACCTGCAGGAAGAGCTCACCGTTAGTTCAGGTGACGCCTCAGGCAGCCGCCGGCTGGTTTTCAACAGACGGGCTTGTGCTTCTTCAGTTGGCAACGTATTTCTCGCAGGTGAAATCTTGATTTAAAATAAGCCAGCTCTACTGAGCTACTCACCGACAAAAATATCGGAAAGCCAGTGCTACGGACAACTTTGCAGTTTAACCTTGCAGAGCGTCTAGGAAAACTGATGCTCCGCTCAAAAGTATCCCAGTTTACCAGCTCATGTAAAACTTGCCTTCAGTCTCCGGCTGAGGTTCTCCATCGTGCCGCCATCTGACGCCTCTCCGATCAGCGTGAAGCTGTTGGCGCTTTCTGTTGACATCATTCTTGGAAAGAATTTTATTGAGAGTTGAGCGCCGAGGGTCTAGGGGAGCCGGCTCGAGCGCTAGACTGAGGTCTGAAGCTGGTCCAAGAGTCAGAAAGGGAAAACACCCAAGACAGAAGGACGGGGGAGCCTGCGTTTCATTCGGGCTCTACCGGGACAGCGTTTTGTGTTAACCCGTAGCTAATCAGCGCCGTCCTAAATCCTAAATCCGTGCATTTACGTATATTCAAATGGCTGCGCCGCTGCCTGCTGAGGAGCCCAAGGGCCACGGGGACCCCTCGGGGGAAGCTCTAAGGGGGTCACAGGAGACGGGCAACGCTAATGCGTGCCCCTCCGGCGGAGGCGGCGCCCCG